CTCTTTTCTTGTCCATTGCGGGTATATTTCCGGGGCCGCCGGCATCCCCCCGGCCCTGCCGTGGGCACCGGGCCTGCCCACCCCAGCGCCCGGAGGGGGGCGGGGGGGGGGGGGGGGGGGGGGGGGGAAACAGGGCAGGGGACGCACTAGCCGGCCGGAGAAGGGGGCCCAGGGAGAACGCGAACACCTCGGAAACAGCAGGCCGCCGGCCGAGCCACGGCACGGCTTTGGCTGGCGCCGGCGTCACCTCACAGGGGGCGCCGGTATGCCTGGGAGAACCGGTGGCGAGCGAGCACCTCTGCCCAGCGCCCCACCACACCACCACCGGCCCCCCCCCCCCCCCCCCGCGCCCGTTCGCTAAGCCGGTCGGGGGGAAATAGACATGCCCACATGAGCCAGACCTCGGGGCCGCCCTCGATCTGCTTCTCCAGTCCGACGGAACCCGTGACTCCCGGGCGAGGTTGGTCTCACCGCGGTGGTGTGCGTGGGAAGATGTTCCCCTCTCATCGGCCTGCGCCCAGAGGGGCGGGGGGAGGGGAGGACCACCCCCGGCCGCACACCTCACCGCGCGGCCAGCAGACGGTCCGGGGATGTCGGCGTCGCCGAAGCAAGACGCCGAAGGGCGAACACCGCGCCCCAGGTGCCCGCTCCGTGTGCAGACCCTGCCTCCGGCCGGGGGCGCCCTGCCCTGCGCCCCCGTACCCCCCCCCCCCCCCGAGGCAGGCGTCGGGGAAGGCACAGAGAAAAGAAAGAGAGAAAGCGAGCCAGAAAGGACATGGGACCAATCGAAGTTTGGTTTGACAACCACCCTGCAACGTGGCGAGGGACTCGAGGGCGCTTTGTCAAGCAGGCGCAGGGAAGCCCGGGCCGCGCGCGCACGCGCGCGCACACACCAGAGGATTCGCCGACGCCGGGAAAGGCCCCCTGTGCGGGTGGGGCTGTCTCCCGGCGCCAGCTTTCGGTCGCCCGACGGGCAGGCCCGGGGAGGGGGGGGAATCGACCACACACACACACACACACACACACACACAGTCCGCAAACGCAGGGCGCGGGCATTCTCCGCACGCCATGACCTCGGCACCGTCGTCCCCCCCCCCCGCCCTGTGGGCGGGAAAAAGAACAACAATAATAACCCAAGAAAATGAGCCTCCAGTCACGCGCACACGCATAAAAAGCCACCGCCGGCCCGCCGGCCCGCTGGCAATGGCCGTCGGTGACCGGCGCCAGAGAGTGCTGCGGGCATCCGCGCCCGGGAGACGGACACAAAAAAGGCCCGCGACCACGGAGACAAGGGGGAATACTCCAGGCCCCTAGATGGCACGGCGGGCAAAGACGAATGAGCGTCCCTTGCAATGGTGTTGGGCCATTCAGGTCTCCCTTGAGGCAAGACCGTGAAAAGCCCATCAGTAAAGCCGCCCAAAGAGGGCTGCCGGTGTCTGGTCCCCCCCTTCATGGGCAGCCCGGGCGGCCGGCCGGCCGGGAGGGGGGGGGGGGCACACACCGTGGACGAGAGGCGCACAAGGCACTGAGACACAGGGGGACGAGGAAGCAAGGGATCTCGGGGAGGTGACATCACGACACCCCTCCGGGGGGGGTGGCTCCCTCGCGGGGGCGCCCGCGAGAGAGCGACAACGAGCGAGAGAAAGAGACACACGAGTCAGTGTGCGAGCGGCTCGCGGTGTGCCGCGCGACCGGCGGCGACAAACGCAGCAACGCCCTCGCCCACACAAAAGGCACCAAGCCCGGCTTGGTGGTAGACAAACACAGACGCAGGACACGCCGCGGGGGACGAGAGCCCTCGGGCCTGAACTCTGGGCCTGCCAACTGGGACTCGCAGAACTGCCCACTCTTGTGCCTGCGCCCCGCTTGCCTTCTTGGAGGACCGTCGCGCCGGCGAGCGAGACAAAGAGAAACACCACCGAGAGAGAGAGACAGAGAGAGAGAGAGAGAGAGAGAGACGGAGGGAAGGGAAGAATCCGCCCAGAGAGGAGGGCAAAGGCCGACGGGGGGTCGGCCTCATTGCGAGCGGCGGGCGCCCCATCCTCGGGTGGCCCCTGCCCCCCCCCCGTTCCCCGCCTCGGCCTCGCCTCAGCTATGACCACATCCGTGGCTGTTGTCAAGAGCAGGCATCGCAACGAGGCTCGTCGCGCGAGGCAGCACCTCCCGGCGGTGTTCGCCCTCGTGGGGCTTCCCCTGCTCACCGCGGCCCGGCGCCTCGCCCGCCTCCGCCCAGGGGCCGCGAGGAGGAACAGCCGAGCAGCAGGGCCCACGACGGCGCCACGGTCGAACGGGGCGGAGATCAGCAGCCCAACACGGCCCCGG